TTTTTTTTTTTTTTTAATGTGTGGTGTCCTATCTTGTGTGTTCTAATTCTCTATCTTCCTGTTGCCTCCACGTCACTAAAATTCTTCAAAGACTTCATTTTTAATGATTGTATAAAAACTGTGGAATTTCTTTTTTTTTTTAATTAAAAAATTTTTTTTAATGTTTATTTCTGAGACAGAGAGAGACAGACCATGAACGGGGGAGGGTCAGAGAGGGAGACACAGAATCTGAAACAGGCTCCAGGCTCTGAGCTGTCAGCACAGAGCCCGACGCGGGGCTCGAACTCACAGACTGCGAGATCATGACCTGAGCCGAAGCCGGACGCTCAACCGACTGAGCCACCCAGGCGCCCCCAAAACTGTGGAATTTCTTAAACTCGCTGGCTGTAGGAGGCCTGCCCTATATGTACCTGGGGCACAGCTCACTTTCCCTCACCCGGGGCTCTGGCCCTCACCTGAACTGTGAAAATGTGTCTCCGGATCTTGGAGGCCCAGGCACCCCTGGGCCCCATGAGGTGGGCGCCATCCACAGCCAGCAGCCTGACCACCGGCTCTGGGCCAAGCACGGGGCCAGTCCTGCCTAAACCCCTGTGACCCAGTTCCTTCACCTGTAAAATTGGGGTCCTCCCCCTCCCCCCCTAGGGCTTTGGCAAGGATTCAACGAAGCCCCTAGAGCCCAGAACCCCATGGTTATGTGGGTCAGACAACTCCACATCTAGTTGTCTCACCTTAAAGCCTGACTTTTCCATCTGCTGACAGAGGCTCCCAGGTGAGAATGCCGGAGAACCACCTGGGATTTTTTTTTTTTTTTTTGAGACAGAGAAAGGGGTGGAGGAGGGGCAGAGAAAGGAGACAGATTTTCAGAGACAGATTTTCAAGTAGGCTCCATGTCCAGCACAGAGCCCAATACGGGACTTGATTTCTCCATGTGATCATGACCTGAGATGAAATCAAGAATCAGACACTTGACTGAGCCTCCCAGGTGCCCCAGTCTGAGATCATCCGTCCTCAGGCATTCGGATTTGGGGTAACCTAGGCAAAAGCTCCCAGGCGATCCTAACGTGCTACAGAATTTGGAAACTGCAGCCTCGAGTAGGCGTTCCTGCCGCCCACTTCCCCCAAATGGTCTCCGTTCTACGTAGCAGTCCCCGATGCCTGATAGTCTAAAGCAAATCCTTGAGTTTTGTCACTGTTAAAATGCCAACAGCCCTGAGCCATTGTATGTATTAAGTCTACCATAGCTGGGCTGGTTCATCATCCTCTGCGGTCCTTTCCAATGTGGTAAGTAGGTAAAGGCAGGTCTGGATGGGACCGGGAAGGGGAAGGGAGCCCCCCTGAGGTCAGCGCTATGGCACGCAGACCTCTGAGGGGAAGGGTGCCCACCAGCCAGGGAAGCTGCAGGGCAGAAGGAAGGGCAGGCTGACCTGAGGGGTCCCTGAGGAGGTGAGCAGGACGTAAGCACTGCAGAGACCCTGCCCTTGGCTTATGGTCCCCAGCAGGTCTCTTGGCCTCAAACCCTGCATCTCAAGACTGGAGTCCCTGGCCGAGCTCCGTGCCAGGACCACTGGGAAAACAGAAGCTGCAGATACTAGTGAGGAAGGGTCCTGACAGGCACAGACCTCCATCACACCAGGGAACATAAGAGTGCACACAGCCCCGAGGCCCCTAACCAAGGAGATGTATACGGGGAGGTCGCACACACCCCACTTTTGGCAGGCCAGCACCAGCACGCAGGCTTTGCTGATTTCACATTCACACCTTCGTGTTTCAGTGTGAAGAGCTGGCCGTGGTGGACCGCCTCTGAATTTCCAGCTGATCTTGAAAATGAGCCCACACCAGGCCCAGGGTCTCGCAGGGGCTGGCCCCTCCCCCTACCTGAGGGACAGTGTGCTTTGGGCGCCACCAGTCTCTGCTTCTCCCAGATGGCCTGCCTTACTAACTCAGGGGACTGGCCTGGTCCCCACGGGCCCAAGTTAGCAGCTTCTACTCTGTGGTTGCTGGAACCACAGGTGTCCAATGCCCGATGCTGGACACTGGGCTCACAGACAAAAGGGGCCCTGCCCTTGCCCTAAGGAGCTGAGTCTATGCTGGATGATGCCAGCAGAGCCGGGGGTACAGTAGGGGGCTCAGAGGACGTAGCCCTAATTCCCCCTGAGGTGAGAGGTGTGAGAAGGCTCTGGGACACTTCCTGGGGAGAAGTGAGCCTGGGGCTGGCAATTCAAGGATGTGGGGGGGAAGCTGAAGGGAGGCTGGGTACAGGAGTACCTGCACTGACCCCTGCTGCCTTGCCCCCCCCCCCCCCCCCCTCCACAGGGCCTGGTGGTGGCCGTCCTGTACTGCTTCCTCAATGGGGAGGTGAGTTCTCAGCTGGCCTGGAGAGAGGAGCTTCCTAGCCACTGGATCCCTGTTCAGGAGCTCCCCGGAAAAGGTGGTGGGGAGAGGTGGGGTGTGGGCTGGGTCTCCTGAGCTCACTTCACGGGAACATCGAAGCACCCAGAAGCCTAGTTCACACAATTACTGCACACGACCCTCCATTCAGCACAAGGGGGATTCTGTATGTCTGGGCTGGAGCCTGAAAATGTTTAACAAGCTCTCTCCAGGAGGTTCTTACCCTAGAGCAAGTCCAGGAAAGAGGGAAGTACGGGCACCCCAACAAGAACCCGGGCTCCCGACTGCTCTGCTGCTTTGCCTGGTGGGTGACCCTGCTCACTGCCCACTGCCCTTCAATGGGCCTCAGTGTTCCCATCTGTAAAATGGCGCAGAGGCAGTAACAGCAAATCCATCCTCAAGGACCCTCCAAATGAGTGTGGACTCCTGGGAGGGCCAGACACTTCCTATGAAGTCTCTGCTCCTGCGCAGAGCAGTTGGGGGAGGACACACACAGAAGCAGCCCAACCACTAGTTGAATACAGTCCTTCACACAAGTAAGGCCTTTCAAGAACTGTCGACCATCAAACTGGTTCGCCACACTTGAATGGGAATAACCTGTTTTCCAAAACTCAAGCATGAAGCCTGGCTTCAAAGGTTTGGGCTGCTACAGCTGGGCACCGTGGAGGACATTTCCAAAGAGCAACTCCCGGGCCCCCAGATTAAGTTGTGAGCTAGGGAGGCTTCATGGGAAGGAGTCCAGTTTGTCCCAGGTGATGACCTGATTAATTCTGGAGTTCTGGAATTTGTGAGACAGCCCTAAGCCCCTTCCTTGGGACCCAGGCGGCAAGATGGAAGGTGAAAGTGTCCAGGAGAGAGGGGCCCTCAATACCTACTGGATGTTGGGGCCGGAAATGGCCAATCTGAGGGGACTGCAGGAGAGGGGAAGATACAAGTTGTGGGACTATGCTGAGGTCCTGGGGGTGGGGGTGGGGGTGAATGGGACTGAGGGTACAAGGTTGGTTCTTCTCTCCTCCACTGATGGTGGTCTCTGGGGGCAGGTGCAGCTGGAGGTTCAGAAGAAGTGGCGGCAGTGGCACGTCCGTGAGTTTCTACTGCGCCCCGTGGCCCTCAACTCCACCTTCAGCAATGGCACCAGCGGCCTCACCCACAGCACCAAGGCCAGCACCTCAGAGCAGAGCGGGGGCACCTGCAGGGCCAGTGTCATCTGAGAGGCTGCAGCAGGGCCACGCACGGGACAGAGACCAAGATGGGTCACGAGAAGGCTAGACATTGCTGCAGGACAGTCCGTATCGGTCTTCTCAGCAGACATCATAGGCTTTTCTCCTGTGACCAAGAACTCCCCTCCTCTGGGCCTCGGGTTGGGGAGGGGGCTGTGGTGAGAATTCCTCAGAACTGATCAAAGCACAGGCACCGTGGGGCAGGATGAGGGCCTGGGATTTGGGTCTGTTGTGTTGTGCGAAGGGCAGTTCAAGGGTTCCAGAAGGCAGGGAAATAAACGGTAGCTGGGATGGGTCTGGTATGTAATTGCCCGCTCTCCTTTAGCCCTCGAGACACAAGGTGAAGGATGCTGAGGCTGGCCTTCCCTACCCCTTCCTGCAGGAATAAGCTCGAAGCCCAGGAAACATGGCAGTCGAGACCCTTGGCCCTAGATGGACCCTCCTTATCCCTCACTACAACTCACCTGTCCAGTAGCTCTTACCCTAGAGCCTCAAGACAACTGGATTAACCTGACCATGTCAGTGAAGCCAAGAGAGACGCCAAGACCCCCAGCTTCCTTTTAGTAACCCAACAGGGTACAAGGCACCCTCCCGTGCCTCCTCTTTCACAGTCACCTGCAGCCCAAGGGGCAGAATAGCCAGGAAGGGGGCAGGATCCCATTGGGCAGAAAAAGAAACAGGTTCACGAAGGTCCTGTGACTTGCCCAAGATACTCAGCAAGCAGGGGCACAAGTTCAGTCCAGGGCTTTGGGGTTCAAATCCCTGTGCTCCAAGGCTGTGTCTGTCTTCACTCCTAGGCAGGGGGGCAAGGGCCTGTCTCCCTGTCCCATGGGGATCTGTCTCCCCTTTTTGTCTTTGGATTTTAGTTTCCTGGACTATTGGCACTCCCTGTCCCACCAGCCGGGTGAGGATTAAACGGGACTATTTGAACCCTTTTACAAAACACAGCCTATTAGTGTTCAGGGGAAAGCATTCTGGACAGAAGCCCCAACATAAAGGAAAAGGCATCTTGCTGGTGGGTGACCTTGGACAAGTGCTGTCCCCTCCTGGGCCCTGGCTTCCCACCCCTGCATCTCCCCACTGCAGAGACAAGGAAGTCACCCCTTTGTACCTTGTGAAGGGTCTCTGGAATGAAAGCCCAGGGGCTTATTTTCCAGAGCCAAGAACCCAGCCTGTATGGTTGATGAGCTCTGCTCTCTGAAAAACTGGTTGGCCCATGACATCTTTCTTGATCTCCATGGACTCCACATGCATTTGGAAATAGAAGTTTTTAAAAAGCCACCACAGGGGGTGCCTGTGTGGCTCAGTTGGTTAAGCGTCTTGATCTGGGCTTGGGTCAAGATCTTACGGTTCAGGAGTTGGGGCCCCGCATCGGGCTCTGTGCTGAGAGCCAACGCAGAGCCTGCTCAGCATTCTGTCTCTCCTTCTCTCCACCCCTTCCCCACTTGTGTGCTTTTAAACTTCAAGTTTAA